CCCAGTTCCTGCCTGCCCTGTAAGGGAGCCCCCCGCATGCCCGCTGTCGCGCTGTGCAGGGCAACCGCGAGCGCCGCCCAGCGGCCAGGCGGATCAGAACACGTCCTCCCGCACTGGCCCTCGCAGGCGTCCTGCAGCTGCGGGGACGGACCGCGTGCATGGAGCTGCCCTCAGGGACAGAGTTGCCCCACGCCTGATCCAGGCCGTGGGCACACCGCGTGCATCTCCTAGCGGGCCCCGGCAGGTGCTCCTAGCGCCCCCTGCTGGCCCAGCCTGGCCTTGCCCGCGGGAGCCGCTCCCCGCCCTCGGGTCTGTTCCATGGCGGCGCTGGGCGTGGTTGTGTTGCGTGTGCGTGGTCCCCACCTGCGCCGTCTGCAGAGCTGTCTGGGGTGCTGGCTGGTTTGCTGTGTCTGCTCTCAGGGGGGTCAGAGCAGGGCCACGCTGGGGCAAAGGCCGCCTCCCGTGGAACTGCTGAGGTCGTCCGCGGGGAGGGAACTGTGGCGTGGGCCGCTGACCACAGCTCCGAGCTCCACTTCCCTCGAGTGTGCTGCCTGGGAGGGGGGTCCCAGGCTGTCCCCCGACTTCCAGGAGGTCCCAGAGGGCTGAAGGGACGTTCCCCGCCCCCAGGGACGGACGCGATCCCGACGCCCCGGTAACGCTCGGCGCTGCTCCCCCACCCCAGGGAAGCCTGGATCAGCTGGACGAGGTGGCGGCCCTAATCGCGGCCACCGTGCACGACGTGGACCACCCGGGCCGGACCAACTCCTTCCTGTGCAACGCAGGCAGCGAGCTGGCGGTGCTGTACAATGACACGGCTGTCCTGGAGAGCCACCACACCGCCCTGGCCTTCCAGCTCACGGTCAAGGACACCAAGTGCAACATCTTCAAGAACATCGACAGGTGCGTCGTGCCGGGCCGTGCCGGGCCGTGCCGGGCCGTGCCGGGCCGTGCCGGGCTCTGGGCGGGCGGTGGGAACGCCCGCCGTGCGGCCCGGGTCTCTGAAGCCTCGCCTCGCCCCTGTGCCCCGGCCCTAGCACACTCAGCTCCACCGTCCAGGCGCCTTGGGGCCTCCGTGAGTTCCCGAGGGTCTCGCAGGCACCTTATCTCACGGAAGCCCCACCCTTCCCTCGCGGAAGCGCTGGCCACGCGGGCCCTGCCCCGGGAAGGTCGCAGCAGCCAGGGTTCGGGCAGGCGCCCCCCGAGTAGGAAAGTGGGCAGGGCTGTGGCTCCCTGCAGGACGGCTCCCGCCAGCCGTGGTCCAGGGCGTTACCTGCGAACAGGAAGTCGCCCCGTGCCACCCTCGGCACAGTCGGCGTGGCTCCCTGCGGCGCAGCCACTGGGTCTGCCCCGGAGGCGCTGGGCCAGCTGCGCCCCGTGTCGCTGTGTCCTCCAGGGCAGGAGGGAGGCCACGGCCTGGTGACAAGGACGATGCTCCTCTGCTTCCGAGAAAACAAAACCAGTGGTTTCTCACTTTACTGACGGCAGAGAGGCAGAGCCAGCCTTCCCCCTGCGGGAGGCCCGCACCAGCCAGGCTGGGCGCTCGGCCCGGGTCTCCCCACCGGGGGGCAGGGCCCAGCCCGTGCGTCCTCTGTGCCTCCCGGGGCCTGCACCAGCAGGGAGCTGGGTGGGACATGGAACTGCGAAACCAGGCGCTGAGGGGGGACACGGGGGTGCCACGTGGCCGTCCAGCACAGCACCGAGTGCCCGCCCTGCTGTCTTCGTGGGGGACGTGACATGAGCACGCCTGTCTCCCGTGGTTTCAGGAACCACTATCGGACGCTGCGCCAGGCCATTATTGACATGGTTCTGGCGACGGAGATGACGAAACACTTTGAACATGTGAACAAATTCGTGAACAGCATCAACAAGCCCCTGGCGGCCGAGGTAAGCGTTCCCACGCGAGACGCCCACGCGGACGGCCCGGGGTGCTTGCCTGCAGTGGGTGAGGGGCTCTGGGCAGGCCTTCGGGCTCTCCCAGGGCCAGGTGCGGCCCCACGTCCACGGCCGCTTGGAGCTCCTGGAAAGAACGGCCGAGCCCACAGGCCGGAGGCCGCTGCAGCCCGGCTCCGGGATGGCGATGGCCGGACCCGGCCGCCCCGCAGAGCCTGGGGGCGCACGCCCTCTCGCACTGTCTGTTCCCTGAGCTCTCAGGAGAATTCAGATCAGAGAACTGTGTTCCTGCTGGTGGATGCTACACGCGCGAGGACTGACGGGACTCCAGAGGGACTGGAACCCAAAAGCACACCTGCCTTCGCTTGTTAAGGCCCAAGGTCCTTACAGATTGAGGCTGTGGGGACGTGGCTCAGAGGCTCTGTTGTTGAAAATCACCCAAGTGAGTTGGCACTTGCCCCGGCAGGTAGCCCGAGTAACACAGGGCCTGGGTTCCAGTCCCAGCTCCAGAGCCGACCCCAGCTTCCTGCCAACGCCGAGCCTGGGAGGCAGAGCCGTACCCTCACTCACCCTGTGCGAGTCTTGGAAGGGGTTCCTGGCGCCCAGGGACAGCCTGGCCCGGCCCTGGCCAAGGCTGGGGTTTAGGAATCAGTGGTGGGAGGCGTGTCTGGCTCTCACAGAAGGGCAGGGTGGGCCCCTGCTCAGCAGCCCCCACTACTGGGTCTCACACTGGAGCGCTGGGTTCTGCTGCCCACTGCAGCTTCTGGTGCAGGCACACCCTGGCAGGCAGCAGGTGGGAGCTCAACTGGTGGGGTTCCTGCCACCATGGACGGGAAGCTGGGCAGAGTCCCTGGAGTCTGGCCTCCGTGTCTCAGACTTTAAGTTGCTTCAGTGACATCACCGCTCCTGGATCAGGGGGCTCTCCCAGCCCCCAAGAGAAGAGCTTCCTGGGCTGTCCTGTGGCCTGGAGGCTGCTTGGTGGTCGCAAGGCCCACCAGAGGGGGGAGAAGACTGCGCCGGCAGCCGGCTGCAGTCAGTGCCACGCCCAGGGCTTCCGCTCGGCCGCTGCAGGAAGGGGCTCATGGCAGCAGTGCGTGTGTAGAGCTGAGTGTGGGCGGCTTTGGGTTTTAAGATTATTTATTTATTTGAAAGGCAAGTGAGGGAGAGAGCTTCCATCCACTGGTACGTTTCCCGCAGTGGCCGCAATGGCTAGGGCAGGGCCAGGCTGCAGCCAGGAGCTTCCCCTGGGCCTCCCACGTGGGTGCAGGGGCCCAAGCACGCGGGCCATCTGCACTGCTTTTCCAGGCGCATTAGTAGGGAGCTGGCTCGGGACAGGAAGCAGCACCCGTGGGATGGCGGCGTCACGGGCACCTTAACCCGCTCTGTGCCAGTGCTGGCCCCTGGCTTTGCTGTGTTACCACCTGGGGGGTCAGGGAGACGGAAAGCCCCGCTCGGGCCGAGCCTCTGCGCCCCTTGTCTCCCAGACCGAGTGCAGCCCGCCGGGGAGGAGTGCTCCCGAGAACCAGGTCCTGATCAAGCGCATGGTGATCAAGTGCGCCGACGTGGCCAACCCCTGCCGGCCCCTGGACCTGTGCATCGAGTGGGCCGGCCGGATCTCCGAGGAGTATTTTGCACAGGTGCGCGGCCCCCGCGGGGGAGCGGGCCTGGGGGTGGATCCCCGGGGACTCCCCCCGCCCCGCCCCGTGACTCCTGGAGGTGCTGATGGCGGCTCTCCCTCCCCGGAGCCCTTCTGCCTCTGCCTGCAGGGCGCTGGGGGCTCCGGGCCCCTCCCTGCCTGTGGCTGGCGCGCGATGCAGGGGACGTGGGAGGAGCTCTGTGCGAATGCTGCGGTGGCTCACCGATGTGGGGGTCGACGTAGGAAGGCTTCCGGGGGACACGGGAGCAGAGCAGCGAGGAAAGGCGTGGTCACCTGGCCGCGGGCCGTGTAAGGAGTTAGAGACGCAGGAAGTGGGAGCCTGCACGCTGCGGGTGGCTGGCTCAGCCGCGGGTGAGAGGCGGGACGCGCCGTCCTGAGCCCCGATGGACTTGGGGCCCCCGGGACAGCTGAGGGGCTCCTGCCCGCTGTGCAGGGAGGCAGCGAGGCTCCTGCCGCGCGCTCCCGGTGCAGGCGCCCTTTCCCTGGCCTCCACCCGCAGACGGGGCAGCGCAGCCCCTGCGGAGGTGTGGGCCGCCCCGGCAGCGCGCTCACGGCCCCGCACCCCCACAGCTCGTGGCGCTCCTGTAGAAACAGCGCTGCGGAGTGCGTGGGCGGAGGTGCCGCTCCCCGCGTCAGCAGCAGCAGGTCGTGGTTTCTAGGAATTTCAGTTCCTGCTTCCACGGGGCGTGCCTGGGACTGCAAGCGGCTAGGAATGGCAGCCAGTGCCCTCCCCGGTCAGGGCAGAGCGGCGCCAGGGGCTGACCGCGCGGTCACAGGGCGCGAGCGCAGGACAGGGCCCCGCGGTGCGGGCGCGGTGCGGGCTCTGAGGGCTGCTGGCCGCGGCGCCGTCTCCTTCCAGACGGACGAGGAGAAGAGGCAGGGGCTCCCGGTGGTCATGCCCGTGTTCGACCGCAGCACCTGCAGCATCCCCAAGTCGCAGATCTCCTTCATCGACTACTTCATCACGGACATGTTCGACGCCTGGGACGGTAAGGCCGCACCTGCGCCCGCGCCCCTGCACGGACGCCCGCGTGCGGAAGGCTCCGTGGACGGTGGCAGCCTGGGACCAGGCCTTCCCGTCCTCCGTGCGGCTCAGCCTGTCGTTGGGAACACGCAGGGTCCTGGGGCCAGCCCCGACAACCGCTTTTCAGGGTGGGGCTTCTATGTCAGCGGCTCGTGTTCAGGCCCAGAGCTGAGGGCGTGCCCTCCCCGGGCGTGGGCCCGGCCCCACCCGACGGCCCCTCTTGTTCCTCACAGCCTTTGCGCACCTGCCGGCTCTGATGCAGCACCTGGCCGATAACTACCAACACTGGAAGACGCTAGACGACCTCAAGTGCAAGAGCCTGCGCCTGCCGCCGCCCAGCTGAAGCCGCCGACAGGGGCCGCCGCCCGGTTCTCGCAGACCTTGCGTCTCGTCCAAGTCTTACCATCACCGTCGCGTTCCATCGAGAAAAATGCCCTCCTGCGCACTCGGCGACAGAGCCCACCCTAGGCCCGCTCCGCTGTGCCGTCATCCCGTGTGCCCCTGTCCAACCGCGGAGCGCCCCGGCTCGAGCAGGACACAGAAGCTCCGCCCTCCCACAGGAGGCACTGCGCACGTGTCCGTCTGCTCAGACTGGCCCAGCAGGCAGCCTCTGTGGTTCTTGGGGCCACCCACGGGGCCATGGGTGACGGGGAGGCTGTGGGGACGCGTGAGCTCGCCTCCGGCTCGGGGAGGCAGCCGCGATCCGGAGTGGGATATAAAAGCCATTTAAGCTGAATGCCCTTGGATAAGCTTTTTTAAAAAGAAACCAATTTATATGCATTTGCTGTGCAACATTTGTACGACCATCGGTGTGGGGTTGCGAGGGGAGCGCCGAGGCCCGGTCCCGCCCTGGGCTGGGTGGTGGAGTGCCGCGGGATGCATACCTGCGGGGCGGCCCCTCGCACTCTGAGCTGCCGGTTCCAGTGTTCAGAAGCACAGTACATATTTTTCTACTGCCCTCTGCCAACGTCCCGCCCTAGGCTAGCTGCCCCTCTCTGTGCTGCAGCGCTGTGGGCCCTGTGGGAACTCTGGTACCAGTGTGCAGGTGTGGGTTTTCCCTTCCTGTTTGGTACCAGCACTGGGCGCTTATAAGCAGGGCCTGTGGGCACGGATCCTCTCACCTCTGACCTAGATGTTTCATAGTTCCAGACTGCGTTTAGCGTCATCACGCCAGGGCCCCGCAGTAGAGGCCCCCAGAGGTTGCCTGTGGCCAAGTGACAGTGGTCGGGTGCCCGACCTCCTCTCCTGCTCTGAGTGGGCAGAGACCAGACAGCTTTCCTGTAAACTGCGTCACTGCCAATGCAGGAAAATGCAAACCCCGCTGGAGACAAGGTACAGTGTAAAATCACTATTAGACAGTCTCAAACCCTCTACCTGAGACTCCGGAATGGGCTGGCCCTCCGCGCCCACGGCCGCTGCGTCCAGTGCGGTGTTCCCCGGGGCAGCACCGTGAGGGCACGTGCAGACACGGGAAAGTCTCCGTGTGCTGTGTGAGCTCCCGGCGGGAACCAGACTCCGGCCATCTACGCGGCACTGGAATAAAGAGCTGGTTCCAAGCCTTGCTCGCTGTCTTGTGATCAAACTGAGAACACTGGCCTAACCCAGAATGTAGGCCGTGTCGGAACGGGGAAAAGCCGGTGCCCAGAGGCCAACTGAGCCCCTGAGAAGGACTGGGCGGCCTTTCGGGGCCTTCACCCCGCCCCCATTTGCAGCTCAGGCGGCAGCGCGGAGCTCAGTGGTGTAAGGGGGCAGCGGAGCTGATGGAGCGCGAGGCCTCCCGGTTTCCCCGCCTCGCCGGGCCTCTCCTTGGTCGGACTGCTCTTGGGGCGCCCGCGGCAGCGCTGGCACAGTTCAAGGAGACTGGAAATCCACACCATTTTTTCCTGACGCACGTTTTTTGTTAAGTTTGTTGTACCCATCTAGTCAACGGCTGTTCAGGCCAATTCACACTAAGAAAAAATACATTCTCATAGAATTCTCACTTTGTAACTAGAACTAACATTTTAATGATCTCTTCAGGCCGCGGGTACATTCAGAGCACTACTGCTGAGAGAACGATGAGGACTGCAGCGAGTGCCGGGCCCTGTCACGGTGCACACTCACCGGGCCGCGGGGCTCGGCTAGGCGGCGCGGTGCAAGCCCCCCTGCTCCTCCAGTTTTTGAAACAGCTGTAAGCTGCGCCGCTCAGACTCGCGCGCCCCCTTCTTCCACAGAACGATGAGATGGTCGGCCGAACACGTCACCAGGCCGTGCTCTTCGAAGTACAGAACCATCTGGAATAGCAACGAGGACGGCTCGCAGGAGCTGCCCGCCGCGGCTGACGTGCAGGCCGCACGTCCGGCACTGTCCTGTCTGAGCGCCACCTTTCCCCAGCCGTGGCATCTCCTGTGAGAACACCAACGCCCCTGGCCCGCAGGCACGGGCCCCTGCAGCACAGGGAAGGCGCAGGCCCACGCGTGAGCTCCTTTCCTCTCTGTCGGCCTCAGAGCGGCCTCGGACACAGCCTCACCCCCTCCTGAACACGGCATAGGTACAGGGAAGGCCCCAGGAGAGGCCTGGGCCAGATGGCCCCAGTGCACAGACAGTGCACAGTATGGAACACCTCACGGGTTCAGCGCCTTTGGCACCAAGAGAACCTTCAATCCCCTCTTCCCAAGAGCTTTCTGAGGTCCTGTGTATAACAGGAGAAGTAAATTCCAGAAATGGATGCGGGCCGAGGGGCCTGCACGGAGCACTGAGTACTTCCTCTGGGTTTACACAGAGAATTTGACTGTTGATGACTAATGTGCTACCGTCACGCTCCCCCCACCAGTCAGATAGAGACCCACTATTTTAAAAGTAAAACCTGGGGCCAGCATTGTGGCATAAACGGAGAAGCCACTGCCTGCGATGTGGGCATCTCATACAGGCACCAGTTCAAGTCCGGGCTGCTCCACTTTTTTTTTTTTTTTTTTTTGACAGAGTGCACAGAGAGAAAGGTCTTCCTTTTACCGTTGGTTCACCCTCCAACGGCCGCTGCGGCCGGCGCAGCGCGCTGATCCGAAGCCAGGAGCCAGGTGCTTCTCCTGGTCTCCCATGGGGTGCAGGGCCCAAGCACTTGGGCCATCCTCCACTGCACTCCCAGGCCACAGCAGAGAGCTGGCCTGGAAGAGGGGCAACCGGGACAGAATCCGGCACCCCGACCGGGACTAGAACCTGGTGTGCCAGCGCCGCAAGGTGGAGGATTAGCCTAGTGAGCCACGGCACCGGCCTGTTCCATGTCTAATCCAGCTCCCTGCTGTGGCCTGGGAAAGCAGTAGAAGATGGCCCAAGTCCTTGGGCCCCTGCACCCATGTAGGAGACCCAGAAGCAGCTCCTAGTTTCGGCCTGGCTGTCACAGCCATTGGGAATGAACCAGTGGACAGACGCTCCCACTCCTAATTCTGCCTTTCAGATGGATAATATTTGAAACCAAGCTCTCGAGTCATGCAGACCCTGACATCTGTCTGCACACACTCTACGCGTGTCTCGACTAGTGCTCATCAGTCACTCCGCTACGACACGTCCTCAGTGCCCTTCCTACCCACACTCCACGTGCACCACCCCAGAGGCAGCTCAGTGTGGCTGCGGCCCCCTGTCCCCCCCCCCCGCTCCCCCCGTCCCCCCGTACGGCTGAGCAGCTCCACGTTCCTCCTCCCACCGCAGAGGCGTGGCCCAGGGCCCCCGGCAGAGCCTGGAATACAGGTGTGAAAGCTGTACCTCCACCGAGGAGGAGTGGCCGATGAGGTCTCCGATGAGCTCCAGCGAGCAGGAAGTGGCGACTTCTGGTTTCCTAGCAGGCGGGCTGGCCTGCTTGTTCACTCTCCCAAATCCCCACATGTTGAAGAACCCTAGGAAACATGGGCACTTCCGTCATTTCCCAAGTCCGTGTTCTGTCCTTAGAGGCACACGGACAGGGATCGGGCACCACGCTGGGGCTCCTGAAGGTCTGGTTCAGCCCCCACCTCCTGCGCTGTCCCCGTGCACCCACGCATGCAGGCGGCTCCACGTGACGGGCGGCCCCAGGAGCCAGAGCAACCCCCGGTCGGAGGGGCAGGGGAGCCGAGACGCGGGGACAGCAGGCGCCGGAGGCCGCGCCCCGCGCCTTCCCCGCGCCGGGCTGAGTGACGCACAGGCCCAGGACGTGAGCACTGGGGTGTAAGGGGGCTCCGGGTGCTGCCCCACTGCCCGAGAGAACTCTGCTCTGACGTCTAGGGGAGCGCCCTGTGTTGAACCAGTGTTTCACGAGGCCCCCTGCTCCTTCCGGTCACCCCAAGGCCACATGGCCACGGTCCCCTCGGAAGAGCGATCCCAGAGGCAGTTCTACACGAGGGCCACACGAAGCAGTCAGTCCTCCTGGAGAAGGGAGGCGCCTGCGTGCCCTCCTCCGCCCCTCACTGAGAAGGGAGCCGCGCTGGGCACACAGACCTGTGGGCACGGGCTCGGCTGCAGCCTGCTGGGCTTCACGTAGCGCCCAGATGCGCACACTGCCGTCTTCTGAGCACGAGATGAGCTGCCTGTCGGGACAGAGATCAGCCACGCGGAGCCCAAGACGGCCCTGCTCCGGGTGCGGGGGGGTGCTCCGGGTGCGGGGGTGGGGGCGGCAGTGCTCCGGGTGCAGAGCAGGGGGGGGCAGTGCTCCGGGTGCAGAGCGGGGGTGGGGGAGGGAGGGGGCGGTGCTCCGGGTGCAGAGTGGGGGGGGGCAGTGCTCCGGGTGCACATCGGGGGGCGGGTGAGGGGCGCAGAGCTCCCGGTGCAGAACCGGGGGGGGGGGACCTGTGCCCTGGGTGCTGGGGGGTGCCTCTGGGTGCAGGGGGGGTGATTCCCAGTTCTAAATCCCTATGTCCGAGAGAAAGCAGCGGTTGACTTGCTCAGGGGGGTAGATCTGGCCTCATCCTAAACCATTGAGGGGGGCAGCAGATCCTGGGGTGAGAGCGAACTAGCTAGGAACTCAATGCGTCTCTGATGTTTAGCGTGTGGATTGGTCAAGACCACGCTCCAGGGCTTTCCTAAGCTTCACTCCCCTTCAACTCAGCCTGCAGCT